AGGACTATCTTCAACAGGTGAATTGGGATGTTCGCCCTGAAATTGAAGTGGATGCTCATTGGGATTTTTTACTGCACACGATCTTATGTGCTACTGAGTATTCAGTTCCTAAAATGGTCCCAAAAAGCTACAAGCAACCTCCAATCATCAAGAACCGCACTCGTCGTTTGCTAAGCCGCAAAAGGCACTGTTGGGCTGAATATAAACGAACTGATAACAACGGCGCATACAGGCAATACAAACATATAAGGAACACATGCACAAAGGCAATAAGAGAAGACAGGCTTCAGTTCCAGACCAAGCTTATCGATAGATTCGTCTCCAATCCGAAAAGCTTGTTCAGTTATGCAGCTTCTCTTCGACAAGGCAAAACTGGAGTTTCCCAACTGCTTGGTCCTAATGGCCCTACCAACAACGACAGTGATGCAGCTAACCTTTTGGCTGAACATTACTCCCGGACATTCCAACTGACCCACATCAACCATACTGACGAAAGCTTCACCTGGACCTTTACAGGACTTTCCGAAGTGGACCTGAGTGCTGACTTGGTGCTCCGTAAACTGCAGAACCTAAAAAAAGACACTTCTCCTGAACCGGACATGGATCATTCCGCTGTATTGAGGGAAGCAGCTTCAATCCTGGCGACACCACTTAGCGTGATGTTTGCACACTCGCTAAGCAGAGGCAAACTGCCGGAAATATGGAAGCTGGCCCACATCACACCAATTTTCAAAGGAGGTCGACGCAGTGAACCCTCAAGCTACCGACCAGTGGCCCTTCTCTCCACACCTTCAAAAATTATGGTATCCCTAGTATTCGACGGCATACTAGAACACTTATCATCCTCAAAGTTCTTATCGCCTCAACAGCATGGTTTCAGAAAAGGTCATTCTTGTATGACCAACCTGCTGACTGCGGTGGATAGATGGACAACCATCCTTGATTGCAAGGGGAAGGTTGACGTCATCTACCTGGACTTCTCAAAAGCTTTTGATAGGGTCAACCATGCATCTCTTATCAAGAAGCTAGGACGATTGGGTATAAAACCCCCTTTAATTGACTGGATCACTTCATACCTAGAAAACCGACATTTTAAGGTCAGGGTTAACTTCACTCTCTCTCAGGCTATGGAATGTCCTAGTGGGGTCCCCCAGGGTTCAATACTAGGACCTCTTCTCTTCTTGATCCTCCTCAACAAGTTTCATCTGACTTATTGCTTTTTGCTGATGATGTGAAACTTTGGAGAGTGATACGTAATCATAATGATATACTAGTTCTTCAGGAGGATCTGACTCGACTTCAAAGTTGGGCAGACGACAACGGACTTACCTTCAACACTTCAAAGTGCAAGGTAGTCCATCTGAGACATGTTGCAGACTATAGTTATAACTTAGGTAACTCCCCTCTAGAAGTTTCCCAAGTTGAAAAAGATTTAGGAGTGTTGGCACCCTACGACCTGAAATCGTATGCGAACTGTGACAAAAACGCCTCTCAAGCAAACCTTTCACTGGTAACATTGAAGCGCATTTTTGGCCAGTTTGACGGTAGAACCTTCCACATAATCTTCAACAGTTTTATTCGTCCCCACTTAGAGTACGGAAACATAGTATTTCCTCCCTCCCTCCAAAAGGATAAGGACACTATGGAACGCATACAACGTCGAGCCACGAAATCAGTTCGGGGTCTCAAATTCAAACATTATGAAGAGCGCCTCAAATCACTTAATCTTTACCCGTTAGAGTATAGGCGTCTTAGAGGTGATCTTCTTATGACTTATAGTATCCTTAATACTTATAGTCATCCCCTTAAACAACTTCTTAAGCTTAGTCATAACACTAACCTGAGAGGTAACACCCATAAATTGGTGACCCTACATAGCAGAACAGACTGCAGACACAACTTCTACTCCGTTAGAGTTGTCAAGTGCTGGAATTCGCTGCCGACTGAGCTAGTCCAAGCGACCTCCCAGGAGTCCTTTAAGAGAAAACTTGACTTATTCTTAAGGACTAAGGATAACATATTATTATGATTTACCAAATTCTTTTTTTCCCTCTATTATCGTTCATATACCTAGGTTCTTGCCTGGAGGTATTGGTGATCCACTGCTACCAGACACGGAAGCACGTTAAGCGAAAACTTCTTCTATTCCGTCCTCAACCATTTGAACTATGACCTTGTGAAAGCGCGTTCGTCGAGCTTGTTCCAGATGTCAGAAGTTACACCCTCAGAGCATGATTCTGAAGAGAAAAAAAGAAAAGGAAATGGTTATAGGCTTTAACCATGTCATTATTAATAATATTAATAATGTCGTTTTTAGGGAAGATGGTTTTATCTTTCAAGGTAGCTGTCAAATCGTGAATGTGAAATAACGGGTAACGATCGGGAATGGTTTTTGCATTCAAACGCCCATAGTCACCAGCTGAACGCCAATCGTTGCTTTCCTTTTTAAAGACCATGTGCAAGAGAGATGCTCATGGGCTGTTTGACGGTCTAATGATTCCTAACTCTATCATGTGGTTAAATTCGCTTTTAGCCAATCTCAGCTTTTCAGGAGTCACTGAGCGTGCTTTCGAAAATACAGGTGGTCCTGTAGTCGTGATGTGTAACAATGCTGTTTGCACACGGTGATTTCGGTTGGTATATTTCAGAGTACTTATCGATTAATGGTTGACAGAATGGGTCTATTGTGTGCCTAATTGTGACTGGGGATAATCTTCAATCGGAAAAAGGAGTTACACAAACAGATAACTCTGCGTAGCAGAACCAAGCATCAATATTGTCTGGCCAAAAGGGCATTAGCTGAAACGAGGGTGATGTATGAGTCTTGACCTTAAGTAGCTTGGGATTCTTTATCGTCATGGCGAACTTTGAGTAAATAGATGAACGAGAGAAAATGTTCAAAAATACGATACAATATGTAAAAAATAATGTGAAGCACTAATTCCAAAAAGGAACGGACTCATAGTTTATTGGTCGGTGTACCAAATCACGTCGGGCTCATCAATGATGATGCCACAGGTATTGTAGTTTGACAACAGTTTACTAGCAACACCTATAATTGAATCGTGTCCACCCAGTGAAATCAAAAGTCAGAAGCGAGGAAGCTCGAAGATACATTTGATAGGTTGTCAATATATCTAGAAGTGACTGATCTAAACTGACTAGCGATCGAAAGAGCAGCTGAGCACGGCATTCTCACTCGTAAACTAGAGCCTTCAGCTAGGAGAGTCTATTAAAACGAAGGTGGCCAGTATCCAATGTCGAACACTTTCAGAGCTACTGATTTCGGGGATTTATTTACCGCTATAATATATTTTTTAAATAAACATCGCGTCCACGTTGTGACCTGGGGAAGCGCACACCAGATCCACACTCAGCATTATTGTGTTGGAATTCTGGTTCCTTTAAGTATTTGTGCCATAAAACTTCTTAAGAAGTCTAGATTTTACAAATAAATTTATGGGAACCTGGTATGAGCCCTGACATTCAAAAAATATTATTTAAGCTTCTTCTGGGTTTAGTAAGCTCCATAGCTGTTCACTGATATCAAGTAGAAAGTGGGCAGACTGAAAATATGTAGGCATAGGGAGTACTTTTGCACTGTAAACGTTGGCAACAGCATCTGTCTAAGGTTATGAACAGGTTCATCTGGAATTCGAAGGTCTTTCGATATGTACGACCAAGCAATAAAATGTTCGCATGCCAAAGTTTCTTGCGAGCCATTAGGCGCAAGATCTCGCGCCACATGCATCTCACAAGTGATTTCTTAGACAAAAGCACTGACACGGTTAGAAATCGATACGCTACGGATCTTGAAGGACATTTCTGGCTGCTGAATATGGTTAGTTTTACTTATATGAGACTCATAGACAGGAGCTAGTCATTGGTTTATATCATAGTTTGACAGTTGAGTATATTTATGTCCGAGTGAAATTTGTCAACACAATATTCAGATCATCCCAAGATAGTAGTACAGAGCTACCAAGGTTTTTTATATACATGAACATTCTGGTTCAGCAGACGTTTTGTGATGGGAAACAGCAGAGAGAAAGCAGTACGGTATTAACATTTTATGGAAGGATTTAACGGAAGTTCAGCTTTAGGCAGATAACAATTGATCAACACCGAACTTAACAAATGCAAATTTATTGATCTACACTACGCTTGGAATTTACATACTTCAACAAGAAACCAATAACCAAAAAAACCGCCTGGGATCAATGAACTAAGCCGTAATACTAATACAACGCTTGGACTGAACATACGTCCGATAACTATAACGCATCATTAGAGCAATAGTTACATGATCATGCGAAATTATCCTGAGTTGAAAGCTGAGTATTCACGTATTTAGCATCCATTTCGAAAACACACAATCTCTTCACATTCAGTATGCTTACTTTGTCTAGCTGGCTTTATTCATATCAATGATCATGCTTATTAATTTGTCCAGAAATTATTTTACAATACACATTTGTAGTGGAGGAGCTTTGCTTACACTAACTGAAATTGGAAACCTATGAAACCTCGGGGGTATCACAAAAATAAACACATAGTTGGACAAAAGAAGTAAGAGAATATATTACTAAACACTTGATAACAAATAAAACCATACTCGGAAATCATTCTTAGCACAGAGCTAAACAAATGCAAAGATTAGGTTTAAAATGTCAGGGTATGTGGCAGAAGGATGTAAAATTTAACTAGAAAAAGAATGAAATCCACTATGGTTAGTTGAAAACAAATTTTTACATGCACAAAACACTGGGTCTAGAGGTAAGTTATACATTAAGCAATAAGATATCATAAGATTTAAAACAATTCATTGAACTAGACTAGTTAAAATTTTAAATCAATTATTGTAAAATAGAAGAAATAAACCTGGATTCAAGCATATGAGTAAAATTAAAAACAAACAATCTAAACAACTAAAATCTATGTACATGTAGTATATCGAATTATCCAAAGAGAATGAAAACACCGGATAAATAGTGTTGAAGGAAATTTTTAAAAAAATGTTAGGCGAGCGTGACTAAATAAGCACAGTGAAATGCAAACAAATAACTGTTACGACCAAAACTATCGACAAGCACATTCATGAATTATTAAATAACATTTGTTCAATCTGTGGTTTTTGATTGAGTCGTACAGTGCGGCGATACGATTTGGCGTAGATATGCTTTATATATTTGTCCCATTACAGATTGAATACATCTTAGCCATAGATCAACATTCTCGTTGGTCGATAAACATTCAAGTGTAGATAAGTCTCCAAGTTCAGTTATAGCTGTTTTCTTGCCTTTCTTAACAGAAGAACGAGAACCAAAATAGGGATGAATAAATGATCCCGGAGCCGATAGGCCACGTGTACGACCAGAGCTATTTACTTCTGGCGAAAATGATTGTCCAGAGGACTGAGGTACTCTAGAGCAAGCATGAGGATGTTGTAAGCCACTACGAAGAAACCAATTTAATGCTCCACTGGAACGAATAGAGTCAGGTTTTGGGAAAGTATTGGTTGTAGAGCTTTCTGTGGGAAAAGCCATTGGTCGAAAGCGATAGGTTTTGCCAAGAATAAAGTCAGTCAGCAAAAAGGAGTCTGGGTCTAAAATACCATTTCGATGTTTACCAGGTTCTGCTTTTGCGGCAGTGAATAATAAGTTGGGATTCGGAAGGTCACAAGACGTTTTAAGACGAATATTAGCACAGATCTCGGATTTACAGTCTGATTCGGTTAGAAGCTCAGAAACCTCAGCTACGTCTACTTCCGCCGAGTCATCAGTTGGATTTTGTAGTTTTTTAACATCATTTCTTTTGCTCTGACAATTGAAAGCATTAAGTGCAGGAGGACCGAACAGACAATGGATTTGGCACTGATGAGCCTGAAACTGAATAGTAAAAAGCTATCAGAATCAGATTTTTAGGAGAACAATGCCAATGTATAAACCATATCAATGAACAATATTTCTTTTTACACAGAAGTCTAAAATAAAACTTCGATACTTACCTGATTGCGGTAGACTGCATTCTTTACTTTTGGTTCAAAATAAATCATGTAGGCAGTGAGACCATCACCTACCATAACCAAAGTAGCCCACAAACGACGCCATTTAGAGAATCCAGATGGTCGACACGTAGAGGATGGATTGTGAAACATTTGTTTTGTAGCTGTTGATCCTGAGACAATCACTGAAGAACCAGATAGAGAAGAATTAGAAGCATGCACTGATGATGTAAACATAGGACTATTTGAACAAACTGTGTCAATACTTTGGTTGGTATTTGTTGTTGGTGTGAAACGGTAAACAGTTCGACGTTGGACAACACCTTGACACACAACTCTAACACCAAAATAGTTGGGGACTACTGACGAGGAAGAAATGCACGAACTGTTGTTGACGTGTGCCTCAGTAGTTGATGAATTCTGTTTGACATTTGGTGACCCTGGCGGAGTTGATGTAGCAAGTATTGACAAATGCCGTTGAAAAGATTTATCTACAAGAAGAGTGATAGTATAAAAAAAGAACATCTAGATACAACCCACATATACATAAAACAAAAATTCTTGGAAATAATTCAAATTAGGGTTAAAGCATAGAACAATACATCACTCATGATGATAAAATGTACAAGTGCATATATGTCAATAAAAACGTATCTTTCTAAATACCACTCAATTCGATGGCCTACCCTATTACATTCCTTATAGATAGTTATTTCTTTAGATTGAAATAAATAGTTATACCATTGAAGCAAACTGAAATACGTAATCAGTAATAAGGAACGTACGACATTGAAATAAATCTGTATCATTCCAATTTTTTTACACTATACCAGTCCATCAAGATGCATAACAGTGGAGTTCAAATGATAATAGCAATATTGCTGATAGCCATAAAGAATAAAACTGGTGAATTTGTGAAGAAAAAACGAATAAAAGTATATCTGCCGGTACTCTTTCACTACGAATGATTTAAGGATGGTTGTAATACCGACTGGAAAAATCAAACGATTAATACACAACAATCTCCAATAAGAACTCAGCCTGTAGCTCTTCTAGAGTTCCTGTCGGTCCCAAGCCCGGGTAAAGGAGGAGGGTTGGGCATGGGGTTAGCGACCCCATCCCGTAGAAAAGCTAACTCGCTAAAAAACGCTAACCAGAAAAAAATCATCCAAACCATTTAAACTCTGCCCTGGGAGTTGAAGGAATAATGACGTCTCATGATGAAAGCCGAATTCCTTCGGAAGTCACGAGACCGATGCACCTTCTAACAACCAGAGCAACACTCTTTATAGGTACATGGAACGTCCGGACAATGTGGGAGACAGGAAAGACCAGCCAAATAGCAATGGAAATGAGGAGATACAACTTGGCAGTACTCGGAATCAGCGAAACCCATTGGACACAAACTGGACAACAAAGGTTAGTTAAAGAAGAGATGCTGCTGTACTCCAGTCACGAAGGGGAAAATGCTTCACACACTCAGGGAGTTGCTCTAGTGCTGTCTAAAGAAGCACGAAATGCACTTGTGGGATGGGAATCTCATGGACCCAGGATAATCAAAGCATCATTCAGAACAAAGAAGCAAGGGATTACAATGAACGTTATCCAATGTTATGCACCCACCAATGATAGCAACGACGATGATAAAGATCAGTTCTATGAAAGGCTGCAATCAATTATAGCAAAGTGCTCACGAAAGGACCTCACCATCCTGATGGGAGATCTAAATGCTAAAGTTGGAGTGGACAACACAGGATATGAAGATGTAATTGGACGACATGGATTAGGAGAGAGAAATGAAAATGGGGAGAGACTTGCAAATCTATGTGCATCCAACAAATTGGTTATAGATGGCACAATATTCCCACACAAGCGCATACACAAAGCTACATGGATCTCACCGGACCACACCACAGAGAACCAGATAGATCACATCTGTATCAACAAAAAATTTCGAAGAACAATGGAAGATGTGAGAACCCGGAGAGGAGCTGATATAGCTTCAGATCACCACCTGGTTATGGCCAAGATGAGACTGAAGCTAAAGAAAGACTGGACAACTGAACAAACAGCACTACAAAGGTTTAATACAGCCCTTCTTCGAGATATTGACAAGCTCCATGAATTCAAGATAACTCTCAACAACAGGTTCCAAGCTCTACAGGATCTACTGAATGAACAAGAAACTACTTTGGAGGACAACTGGAAAGGGATAAAAGAAGCACTAACTTCAACGTGTCAGCAGGTTCTTGGTCCTAAGAAGCATCATCACAAGGAATGGATCTCTATGGGAACCCTGGACAAAATTCAAGAAAGGAAGAACAAGAAACTAGCAATTAACAACAGCCGAACACGAGCAGAGAAAGTCAAAGCACAAGCAGACTACGCAGAAGCAAACAGAGAAGTGAAGAGGAGCATTAAAGCCGACAAGCAGAAATACATGGGGGAACTAGCAACGGCGACAAAAAAAGCTGCAAGAGAATGGAATATGAGACAACTATACGATACAACGAAGAAATTGGCAGGGAGATATAGTAAACAAGAGAGACCAGTCAAGGACAAAGTCAGTCAGTCAGCTACAACGTAGGACCAGGCACATTTATGCATCGGTCCAAGTTGCCATACCTCTTTAGCACAACAAGATCAACACTGGATTCATAGAAGTAATTAATTTAGTGGTGGTAGTACATAAGGATATAGTATGGGAAGCAAGAACGTTATGAAGCAATTTTAATCTCAAGGTTTAAGGGAAGATAAAGAGTGTATACACCTACGCCATTGTGATCGATTCTGAGCCATGTCACCTAGAGTCTCCAACCACTTATTACGATAGTCACGCGGACCCCAACCAGGTAGTCTGCATCTGCCAACATGGCTCAGGCTAGAAGTTAGTGACTTCAAACACTGATGACATGTTTTGGTTTGGCCGTCCCTAACTCTCTTCCAACAATCCCCTACACTAGTCATCATAGCGCGTCGTGGTAATCGGTGTTCAGGCATACGTAACACATGGCCCAACCATCTCAGTCGATGAAGATTTATCACCTCATCAACTGATTTACCATCGTTACCTAATACCCTGCGTCTAACCTCACTATTACTTACTCGGTGATTCCAGCAGATGAGAGCAATATTTCTAAGGCATCTGTGGTCAAATACTAGTAACCTACGAGTATCTTCTACTCTTAATGGCCATGTTTCACAGCTGTAAAGTAGAACAGAGCGAACTGCTGCGCAGTATACTCGTCCCTTAATTGATAGACGGATATCTCGTCTTCGCCATAGGTGACGTAAGTTGGCAAAAGCCAAACGAGCTTTTTGAATCCGTGCTGAGATTTCATCAGACACCAACCCATTAGGGCTGATCAGACTTCCAAGATAAGTGAAGTTGTCGACGCGTTCGACTACTTCACTCCCTATCCTTAGTTCAGGTGTTGACGCAGGCCAGTCCTGGAGTAACAATTTACATTTGGATGGGGAGAAACGCATCCCAAACATCCTGGCATTATTACTGTGTTCCAACAGAAGACTCTGCATTTTGTCAGCGTCTTCACCAAACAGGACTATGTCATCTGCGTATTCTAAGTCGCTTAGTGGTCCCCCTGGTAGGAGATTAATTCCTGTAAACTCAGTCGACGAGAGTGTCATTTGCAGCAACAGGTCTATAATGAAGTTAAACAAAAAGGGGGATAGTGGACAGCCTTGACGGACACCACTTGAGGTTGTAAAATCATATGACAGTTCGCCATAAGCTCTCACTCGACTGATAGTGTTCGAGTAAAGAGCCTTCACAAGGTTTATGTACTTCTCAGGTACACCTTTCAATGACAGACACTGCCACAGAACCTCTCGGTCTACAGAGTCAAATGCTGCTTTCAAGTTAAGAAAAACTATCATTGTCGGACGCCGATAAGCATGTCTGTGCTCTAAAACTTGACGAATGGTGAATATGTGGTCGATACAGCCACGACCAGGTCTGAAGCCAGCCTGATTTTCTCGTGTTCGCAGTTCACGAGTTTTAGTTAGGCGCCTGATAATTATTGAGGCTAGTATTTTAGATACTATGTTAGTCAGACTAATCCCTCTATGGTTATTGCAGGATGATTTGGACCCCTTTTTATATATTGGGACAATCAGTGATTGTGACCAGTCGGATGGGATTACATCCGTCTCCCAGATTTTAGCCAGAATATTAGTCAACCTAATCGCTAAAATTGGACCACCATATTTAAAGACCTCTGGAGCCAATCCATCAGGACCAGCTGCTCTTCCTCGTTTCAGATTACCTATAGCCTTTTGAACTTCAAGTAGGGTCGGGGGGCCTGCTTCAATGTTCCATTCAGGTTTTCTAGGAATAGTGGGTAGTTGTGCAGTAGCTGAAGGCCAGCTAAACTGCTCCTTAAAGTGTTCCGCCCATCGTTCTAAACGTTTGGGTAGAGAGCAGATAAGGGTTCCATCTTTCTCCGAGATCGTCTCACTTACACTTGACTTCTTAATTCCAGTTTCTTTTATTAGTCTGAATAGTTGCCTGGTGTTCCCTACAGCCGCTGCCTTTTCCATCTCTTTTGCTTTCGTTGCCCACCACTGCTCACGATCGTTCCTTAGACTTTTAGTTAACCTAGATCTAATTTGTTTACGCTCTTCGTCATGTTCAGAGCCTGATGGGATGAGTTTACGCGAAACCATCAGTGAAATAGACTTAGAAGAAATCCACTGGTTTTTTGGAGCCCTATGGTTTAAATGACTAATAGATGTTACTGCTGTTTCCACAGCTGTTCGTATGCCTTTCCAAGCAGCATCTGGGTCAGTCTCGTTTACAGAACTGCCTAGATGTGAACTCAGTTGTTTCTGGAATTCGCATTTGGCTTTCTCGTCCTCCAGTTCAATCCTGATGGGTCTTCTTAGTGTACTTTTCCTGCGTCCATTGAGGCGCAGACAAATGCGTGCTCGTATTAAAGCGTGATCAGAGTCTAAACAAGTATTCCAATACGAGCGTTAATCTTCTATTGAGCCTCTCCAACGATGACTGATGACAATATGGTCTATTTGAGTCCATCGTTGGTTTGGTGCAGGTGGTCGCCATGTTAGACGATGTCTCTCCTTATGTTTAAAATTAGTGCTTGCCAAAAATAAACGATTGTCTGAGCATAGTTGCAACAGACGATCACCATTATCGGTTCGTTGAGCCGGAATACTAAAACACCCACCTAAATGTCTTTCTGTTTGATTTAAGCTGCCTACCTGGGCATTAAAGTCACCCGCTACGACTACTATGCAAGTCCACGAGAACTAGCCAACGGGTCGCCAGATACACGGAGGGTGTATTTCGTTGGCTGTCCATTTTGGTGAGGTGAGGTCAAGTGAATTACCACACTAGGATCCTGTATGCGTGTTTCGGAGACACAGCATACATCAATGGTACGCGACTCTAAGGTTTTAGCTAAGGAGGCCTGTTGTCCGATTTGACTTAAAGTACGTACGTTGAAGGCTCCAATGTGTAGTTTGGAGCGAGGTTTTAGTAGACCTGGGACAGCGTTTCGCGCACTAGAATCGTTGGCAATGGTGACACTTGAGGAGGAAACCGAGAGAGGAAGTTTAGTGTTGAAAGTCAAGGTAGTAGGAATTGAAGAAGGAGATTGATTATGAATACAGTGGTCTTGAGTGTTGTTAGAGGTATGAGGGCAGTTATCACTTCCCGGTTGCCCACACCGTGGAAGGATTCTTCTAGAGGTACCTGAAAAGGAAATTGGGTTAGAAGTGGTCTTAATGACCTGAGAGCGTGACCGCAGAGCCCAAGGGACAACTGCTTGAGGTCGGTCACACACGACCTTTTTGTGTCAGCTCCGTTCTTTAAAAAAAAACCTTACCGCCGGAGACGGATATCCGTGGGATAAGGCGAGGTGTGCATTTTTAGGGTCGACCTTTTCTAACCCCACCCCTCCTTGTGGGAAGGCAGCATCGCTGTCATGCTGGTTGTCTGAAGGAAACACCTTACTGCTTTCACACCTCTGTACAGTCAGCAGTACGACTTCGCCTTTGGACCTTGGGTTTGCTGCTTTTAGTCTCACCGCTCTTCAACCGACCTGTCTGGCATGGTAGGACCTCGAGGAACGATTGTTCCAGCCAGCATAGCTCGATTGGATCATCACGATAGGCAAGCCCGACCACCACGTCAAGGTAGCAGCAACGGTCGGGCAAGGACAAAGAAGGAAAGACAATCACTGAGATCCAAGAACAGAGGAAGATGAGCAGAATACTTCGAGGAACTGCTGAATAGACCAACCCCATTGAATCCACCGAACATCGAAGCAGCCCACACAGACATTCCAATAGATGTCACTCCACCAACGATCGAAGAAGTCAAGATGGCCATCAGACAAATCAAAAGTGGGAAGGCAGCAGGACCTGACAATATACCAGCAGAAGCACTGAAGTCAGGCATTGAAATAACTGCAAACATGCTTCACCTTCTATTCAAGAAGATTTGGGAAGAGGAACAAGTGCCAACGGACTGGAAAGAAGGATATCTCATCAAGATACCAAAGAAAGGAGATCTGAGCAAATGTGAGAACTACAGAGGTATCAGTTTGGACTACAGTGCAAAGTGGTGCATGGAGGACAGCTGACAGATGCATTTCCAGTAAGGACCGGAGTCAAACAAGACTTTCTACTCTCCCCCTTCCTCTTCCTTCTAGTGATTGACTGGATTATGAAGAATTCGACATCTGAAGGGAAATACGAATACAATGGACAGCTCAGAATCAATTAGGTGATTTGGACTTCGCAGATGACCTAGCCCTCCTCTCTCATACACACGAACAAATGCAGATGAAGACAGCAAATGTAGCAGAAGCCTCCGCATCGATAGGCCTCCACATTCACAAAGGAAAAAGCACGATTCTCAAATGCAACACGGAAAACACCAACCCAATCACATTTGATGGCGAAACTTTGGAAGAGGTGGAAACATTCAAGTACCTGGGGAGTATCGTTGATAATCAAGGAGGATCTGATGCAGATGTAAAGGCGAGGATTGGCAAAGCAAGGACAGCATTTCTACAATTGAAGAACATATGGAACTCAAAACAACTCTCAACCAATTTCAAGGTCAGAATCTTTAATACGAACGTCAAGACAGTCCTACTGTATGGAGCTGAAACGTGGAGAACTACTACGACCATCATCAGGAAGGTACAGGTATTTATAAACAGTTGTCTACGCAAAATACTCAACATCAATTGGCCGGATACTATGAGTAACAGCGTTTTATGGAAGAGGACAAACCAGCTTCGAGCTGAAGAGGAAATTAGGAAAAGACGTTGGAAGTGGATCGGACATACATTGAGGAAATCACCAATGTGCATCACGACTCAATCCCTAACTTGGAATTCGGAAGGGAAGCGGAAATGAGGAAGGCCAAAGAACACACTACGCCGGGAAATAGAAGCAGATATGAAAAGGATGAATAGCAACCGGAAGGAAGGCTCAGGACAGAGTTGGATGGAGAATGCTGGTGAGCGGCCTATGCTCCTCGACGAGGGGTAACAGGTGTAAGTAAGTAAGTATCTCCAATAAGATTAGAAGAGAGAATCATGGTAAGCAACAATGCAAGTATGTTTGGGACACGATTCTTTCTTGCCAAATGCAAAAGCTTGCTTCATAATTGACTTGCATCATCACCCGGATTAATCATAATGAGTGAGACAGATGAATGCATCGTCCGCTCCACTTATCTTGGGAGTCTCATCAGTCCTGATGATCTGGTGACTGCCGAAATCCTCACAAACATTAAGAGCTCGATTGGCCTTTGCCAACTTGCATCACTTTTCGTGCAGGTGAGATATCACTTCACCAAACAAATGACGGATTCACTGAGCAGCAGTTCGATGCGTTCTGCTTCATGGGTGTGAAATATGACCATTACGAATAGAGCATATTCGTAGGTTACTAGTATTCGATCATAGACGTCTTCGAAGCATTGCTCATGTGTTTTGGGACCACGGAGTAAGCAATCAATGGGTTAAGAATAAGCTGCTATGTAAGTGTGGCAAATCGATTGATCAGGTAGTGATTCTGCATCAGTCGAGATGACAGGGACATGTGTTACGTATGCCCAACCACTGCCTACTTCAACGAGCGATGTTGTTTGGTGTAGAAGCAGGTTGGAGCACCCAAACCAAAACATGGAGTCAGTGACAATTGGATTGAGCCATGTCAATAGGTACAGACTACCTGGAAGATGTTTGCGTGATCATCGTAACTAAGTGTTAGAGACTATGAGTGACATGGCTCAAAATCGTTTGCAATGGTGCAGGTGCATCCGTTATTTGTTGTCTTTCCCCAAATCCTGGGATTCTAAATTCCCCATAACTTTTCTTCGTGCTTTCATCCCAATAATTTGTATTTTTACGTATTATATCCTCGATTTCTAATATTTTTTTATTATCACTGATACTGTTACTACCGCTACTATTGTGGGACATGGCCTGACTTCATCTTTTTGTGCTAATGGGGTATGGCAACTTGAACTAGTGTACGTACGTACAAGTTCTACATTGTGACTGACTGGTATCAATTTTATACTTAACTGCAAGGGGATATTTTTTTCACTATTTGACCAAATAATCAATCAACACAAAATTCGGAACAACTAGACCTAAACATACAAACAGTAAAAAGAAATGCATTAGCGTAATTGTGCTTCTGAAAAAAAACGTGTGAACCATTTGCGAGAAATAAGACACACATACAAAGAAAGCAGACTGAATGAAATTTCAAGGGATCATAAACAATCAAATGCATTAAAAAGTGTATTATCCCAATTGGACAGATGATTATTATCATTTCATATGATATAGCACTATCTTATGACGGAATCATTCCAATTGAGGTCACCAGGTTTATGTTTTCGAACCCCTGAACTGTAAATATTTAAATATGTGCGTGCGTATATCATGTGTGCAAACATTTTTTAAAAATTCTTTGCGTCTTTTGTAAATGCTGCCATATGATTTGTTTTGATCGATTTTGATTTTGTGACAAACAGACAGGCGGTATGCAAATAAACGAGAAATATGCTTAGAGGTTAATAACTAACTAGGTAGGTAGATGGTCAAAAGTAAGATTATCCTATTTCGATAGACAAAACAACCAATGATACAACTGCCACGTGTTGTTAGTGTCATGGAAGAAGATAAGAATAGGAAGTTAATGCTGTTCACCAATCAGTCAATAAAAAAATGTTTACACTTATTGAACTCGATTGTTTCTTTATATTTTTGTTTAACTCTTGTTTGGTGTGTATGCAAGACAAACAGGTAGTATATACACAGAATAAACTATGTCACATAAACAAGGGTTTAATGGGCCTGTATAACTGCGGTCAATTGTCCCAGACAGAGTTCGTGCAAAAACCTCACAGACTGAACAATTCAGTATTCGGAGAATACAAAACCTTACAATAAATAATGATTAAATCAAGTTATATCCTACATGTCCAAGTAATCAGGAAGAAATTTTGAAACTAGGATTCGTTAGCAAACCATATCTATAACTGATGCATCCAGTAAGATTCGAAACTTGCATTATCTATCAGAGATGTTGTTACGATGCTATTTGGAACACGACTGACCCCTTAAGGGAATACGATATTCACTGGGTATTAATTACTGTCCAGTCCTCAGTGTTGATAAAATTCTATAAACCAAGTTGTAATATTTCCGTTTGCTTTCAACTGCCTAAAATACCGAGCCAGTTAGACTAGTGGTCAAATAGAAAATGAAATCGGAAAAATCTGACTAACAGCACAATAATACAACAAAAAGACAGTGGTTACTGATCGTAACTCACTCATTTACCAATTATACGTTTATGAACTCGGAGTTTTGAGTCACAAATTTCCGTATAAGGTTAAGCGATACTATCCAACTGCCCAAACTGAAGTAAGTAGAGTGGGGTTTGAGCACATAATCTAGTAATTAGAACCAGTATCGTTTAACTACGAAAAAACTCGAAAATTCGTGATATTGATAATGAGAGAGATTAAAGTAAATATCATATAGGAAGTAGTATAGGATAAATCAATTCAAACAATCTGATTAAAAAATATATTACTCCTCACCTGATGATGGTACATCGTCAAGCTTACTGCAGCTAGGATCTATAGCCGCCACAGATGACGACGACAACGACGGCGGCGGTGTGGTACATGAAACATCTACAGCACCTAAAGAAGTTGCACATGCGGCTACAGCAACAGCTGACGAATCAAATACATCATTCATAGAACATAAACTGAATTCTGACAAAAGATTAGTGCTGAAATTGTTTGGAAAGAATGTTAAAGTAGGAAAATAGACTTAATAACACGTTATTTAAAACTAAATTTTCTTTTCTTTTCTAGGAAATGTTAAAATTATTACAAGTAAGACTTGGCAATGTTCACATGAATATGACTGCATGTTAGATCACTGGTGAATCTTACTGACAAGTGAATACCAATAAAACAAACTTGTGTGCACATTAGTGACAGCATTTGACTGCTTAAACTGGAAATGATTATGGTAACGTATTTTTCCTCAGTCCTAGATGGTTTAACATAGAATAATAATAAGTTTTATTTAGTAACGTATGTCTGATTACAGCAAACCATTCACAGCAAAAAAATCATCCAAAGGTGCAACAAAATTTGCACCTTTTTGATCCATGTTGGCAGATGCAGACTACTTGGTTGGGGTCCACGTGACTATCGTAACCAATAGTTAAAGACTCTGGGTGACATGGCTCAGAATCGATCACAATGGCGTAGGTGTATACACTCTTTATCTTCCCTTAAACCTTGAGATTAAAATTGATTCATAACGTTCTTCCTTCCTATACTTTATCCTAATATACAAACTATCTTTTATATACTACCACCACTAAATTAACTACTTCTATGAATTTCGTGTCCATCTTGTTGTGCTAAGGAGGTATGGCAACTTGGGCCGATGCATAAATGTGCCTGGTGCTACGTTGTAGCTGACTGACTGAAATATTCAAAAGATATGCATAAAATATTATATAAACAGTGATCAGTTACCATTCATATTCATATCTGTAAATGATTACGATCCGTTTTATCCATTTGACATTTCTCTACATTGTGGAATAGATACTTAATGTATGAATATCATGGTAATAGCCTATTGTTTCTCTGAATGTCAGATGAGGAAAATACGAAAACTAACGTGACGGTATGTCTTCAGTTTTTCAATAAGTAGATAGGCTGAAAACTTCTTACAAAAGCGCGTAAGCATACGCTGTTAACATATATACTTAGCGAATCCAAGTAAGTCTAAAATATGAACATGTATGGGGATAAATGTGGTCCAGTAGTATGAAGAGGTTGTTGTGTGGTTTTCATTGTCATTTTAGACAACACCATTAGCATCCACTTTATGAAAAAACACGTGAAGCTAGTACACTATTACACGTATAACCCTGTGTTGAAAGCATATAAATGATTATTATGTGTATCTGAGACCATTTCACTGAAATCTCAGCATATAACTTGTAGCACACAGTTTTACAGTTATATAATAGACTATGCAGTGGAAATGTTGAAGCAGTCACAAAAGTGACCAATCCAATGAGGAGACAAAACAATAAAAGATAGTTTAAGGAAATGTAGTGATGTTTTATCTGTTTACCATTTTCATTTCTCAATACGTATATTTTAGCAACAAACAATCATTCATACGATCAAAAGGGAATCAGATTTACGCCACAACAGAATTGGAGGCCTCGCCGTACGAGCACGGCACTACAAGATAGGTTGTATATAAGGATACAGTACGGGAAGCAAGAACGTTATGAAGCAATTTTAGTCTCAAGGTTTAAGGGAAGATAAAGAGTGTATACACCTACGCCATTGCGATCGATTCTGAGCCATGTCAAACAGAGTTCCCAACCATTGGTTACGATAGTCACGCGGACCCCAACCAAGTAGTCTGCATCTACAAACATAGCTTAGACTAGAAGTTAGTGACATCAAGCACTGATGCCATGTTCTGGTTTGGGCCGACCCTAACTTTCTTCCAAATATCCCCTACACTAGTCAACATTGCGCGTCGTGGTAATCGGTGTTCAGACATACGTAGCACGTGGCCTAACCATCTCAGTCGATGAAGATTCATCACCTCATCAACTGATTTACCATCGTTACCTAATACCCTGCGTCTAACCTCACCATTACTTACCCGGTGATTCCAGCAGATGCGAGCAATATTTCTAAGGCATCTGTGGTCAAATACTAGTAACTTACGAGTATCTTCTACTCTTAATGGCCATGTTTCACAGCCGTAAAGTAGAACAGAGCGAACTGCTGCACAGTACACTCGTCCCTTAATTGATAGACGGATATCTCGTCTTCGCCATAGGTGACGTAAGTTGGCAAAAGCCAAACGAGCTTTTGAATTCGTGCTGAGATTTCGTCAGACACTAACCCATTAGGGCTGGTCAAACTTCCAAGATAAGTGAAATTGTCCACGCGTTCGACTACTTCGCTCCCTATCCTTAGTTCAGGTGTTGACGCAGGTCAGTCCTCGAGGAACAATTTACACTTGGATGGGGAGAAACGCATCCCAAACATCCTGGCATTATTACTCAGTTCTAACAGAAGACTGCATTTCGCCAGTGTCTTCACCAAACAGGACTATGTAATCTGTGTATTCTAAGTCGATAAGTGAACCTCCTGGTAGCAGATCAATTCCTGAAAATGAAGTCGAAGAGATTTTGACCAAAAAGTAACCTGCAGATTTTAGAATTGAAACAGATACACTCTACATTCAGGATTATTTTCATGTATTAGACAATTTTCTACTTGTTAACTGCGATGCTAAATGAATAACTTATTTGTAATGTAATACATCCTATTGAAGTTCAAAAATAAATACATTATTTACATTTTTATTGGATGGAATTAATAGAAAGTAGACAATGCCTAATCAGGTATAATTAATTACAACAACTAAACTAGGTAGGGGAAGGCTGGAAGAAAGCTACGGAAGGTCAAATTAAAACTTGGCATTAATCCAAAGAGTTATTGATATATATTCAGCTAATTAGCACACACTATCTGATTAAGGTCAATGCAATAACCGTGATTAATTGTAGAAAAAGGTTGGATAACGTGGTCCGGATCTAGTTGCAATGAAGCAAATGAATTTACTCTGTTTTACTTTACATCCTGAGCTTTGAAATTATTTTAGACCTCAGTATTTGTAAACTTTAAGACTGATCTATTTTAGAACAACATATATAAGCGAACAATATTGTTTTCGATGAGATCCTCATCAGGCTATACTCTAATATACAGTAATATTTATATGCATATATGAAATTATTAAACCAATCAAGGCAGTTTATGAGTCAATGATAACAGTGGAATAGATTACATAATCAAAATTAATAATAATAAATAGAAAGTACAAATTGGTAATGTAATGACAGGTGTACTAGTTGTGATAAGAATAATAAAAGGCTTGAATCAATGTTACATAATAGGAAAATAGGTCAATGATTAGAAAATATAGACACTGAAATAACAATCATCGAAATTATAAGATTACGTAATAAGAAGTGTTCAGATAATTGGAAGCGAATATTAGAAAAATTATAAGTAAATAATTGATAAGGGGGGGGGTGAAGAAAAATAAACGAAAAAAGAGTATGGAAAGTAAGATTATTTATTAAGGCCAAGGGAGGGATAAGAGTGTTACAAATTTCTTATGAACACAAAGACTTGGGTTGTTGGATCGAATTCCTATAGCTTCTGCTATGTGTAGGAGACGAGATCGAACCCCATAAGGAAAATAATAATTTCGTATATGCATATAAATATTACTGTATATTAGAGTATAGCCTGATGAGGATCTAATCGAAAACAATATTGTTCGCTTATATATGTTGTTCTAAATCACAATATGGGAATTTTTCAAATTTTGATCTATTTTATTACGACTAATAATTCAATATTTATCGTGGGAATTTTGTCTCGCTGTGTTGATATTGTGTAGGAAGTTGGACCTATGCATAAATATGCTAGATTCTAGATTGTTTAAGACCAGCTGAATAACTGGGCTAAGTATAATGATTAAGATTTTGAAAATCAAAATATTGGTTACATAAAAAAGTATTTGTTGTAATTCAGTAGTGTTAGTGTATAGAAATGTCTTGGTATAGCTGACTACTATTGTAAAAACAGAAAAATAGAACTTTATGCTCTTACTAAGAACGATCGTAAAATATAATGATTATAATCAGTCAGTCAGCTACAACGTAGCACCAGGCACATTTATGCATCGGCCCAAGTTGCCATACCTCCTTAGCACAACAAGATGGACACGAAATTCATAGAAGTAGTTAATTTAGTGGTGGTAGTATATAAAAGAAAGGTTGCATATAAGGATATAGTATAGGAAGGATGATGATTATAATAAGATGTATAGATGACTTACACTGATGATGTAGCTGGTATATTTGATTGTGAAACATCGCTAACAGGAAGTGATCCACTAACAGAAAACGATTTACAATAATTTGTAGATAATAACTTTGGACGGGCACATTGGTCAGTTGTTACGAGTGATTGACTGGGATTTAATTCCGATCGACTAAGAGTAGAATGTTTTGTTTGTTCAAAATCAACAAATGGTCTTGGTGGAATTGGAGGCAACTGTGAACTTTTACAATCAGGAAAAAGAAACTCCAATTCTTGAGTAGTAGACTGAGGCTCTGAAGTGCATAGGAAATCGGAATCCGTCACCTAATAGGAAAAAAACACAGTGAATTTACATTAATAGACAGTTACAAAATCCGGATTTATAAAAATTAATTTTCAAGCAAAGTTCAATGTAAGTTTATCTTCAACAATTAAGGTGATTTCGATATATATTACATACTTCTGGAATCTATTTACTTTTATATAGCACATACAATGAATAGATATTATTGCAAATAAATGGAAAACAGACTTGAATTTAAACATAAACAAAGCAAATGGAAATTTCATCCTGCTGTTCAGCGAAAAATCAACAGCAATGAGTCGTGATCCAACACAATTACCATTATTTTGGTGACATCACGACAACCCCCTCTAGCTCTTCTAAGGTTACTACCGGTCCCAAGCCCATACAATAGAGGCGGGTTTAATATGAAGTTAACAACCCCATTCCCTAGATGACAACCTTGCTAAAAGAACGACAACCATAATAGAAAATCCAAACTATTTAAAATCGGTCCTACAAGTTCAAGGATCTTCACAAGAATTACGACGCCTCACGGTAAAAGCCCACATTCTGCGAAAATTTAGGGGCCGATGCCCCTCTTGATAGCCAGAGCAACAATTAATATACAAACATGGAATGTCCGGACAATGTAAGAGACCTCAAAGACCATTCAAATATAACTGCGGAAATAAGGAGATACAAATTGACAGTACTCGCAATCACCGAAACCCAATGGACTCAAGCTGAACACCGAAAGTTAGATACGGGAAAGATGCTTCTGTACTCTAGTCACGGAGAAGGAACTGCTCCACATACTCAAGGAGTTGTTCTGATGCTATCCAGAGAAATACCAAATGCACTTACAGGATGGCAATCTCACGGATCCACAATCATCAAAGCATCAGTCACAATAAATGAGGGAATCATACTGAATTTTGTACAACGTTATGCCCCAACCAATGATAACAATGAGGACGATAAAGGACAGTTTTATGAGAGGCTGCAATCGATCATGGCGAAGTGCCCAAAAAATGACCTGACCGTCCTGATGACAGACCCAAACGTCAAAGTCAGAATGGACAACACTGTGTATCAAGATATCATAGGACGACATGGACTAACTGGGAGAGAAGAACTAAAATGGTGAGAGATTTTCAAATTTATGTGCATTCAACAAGTTGGTTATAGGCGGTACAATATTCTCCCACAAACACATACACAAAGCTACACATGCTTCACTGGACCATACTACACATAACTAGATCGATTATATTTACATTACTAAGAAATTCCGAAGGTCAATGGAAGACGTGAGAACTAGGAGAGAAGCTAACGTAGCTACCGATCATCACCTATCTTTATAGAACACTATTTACATGGTGGTTGTCAAGATGAAACTGAAGCAAAGCAAACATTATACAGATGGAGAAACAGAATTACAATTGTTCAATACGAATTCCTTCGAAATACTGAGAAACTCAACTAGTTCAAGATAACTCTCAACAACAGGTTCCAAGCCTTATATGACCTACTCGAATCAGAAGAAACTACTATGGAGGATAACTGGAAATGGATCAAAGAAGCATTACAACGTGTAAAGAGGTTCTGGATCGCGACAAACATGATTATTCACGAAAAGTAAAACAAGAAGATAGTAATTAACAACAGTCGAACACGAGCAGAGAATTCAAAGCATAAGCAGACTACGCAGAAGCGAACAAGCAAGTGAAGAAGAGTATTAAAGCCGACAAGCAGAAATACATGAGAGAACTAGCAACGACGGTGGAAAAAGCTGAACAAGATAGGAATATGAAACATCTATATGGTACGAAGAAACTAGCAGGGAAATATAGTAAACCGGAGACACCCGTCAAGGACAAAGAAAGAAAGACAATTTTTGAAATTCAAGGTTAAAGGAACAGATGGGTAGAATACTTCAAGGAAACAACTATATGGTATAACGAAGAAACTGGGAAATATAATAAACCAGAGGAACCCATCAAGAACAAGAAAGACAGGCACTTAGTGTTTGCCTTTTCGTCACCAATTACATCGGATGATGATGTTATCGAAATATACATCCAGACTGTTCTTGTATATAATCACCGACTTAACTCGTGTTAGTGAGCGGAGTAAAAATTAGTCAAATACGAGAATGAATCTCGAAAACGTATATTTCACACAATCGTCGATCTGAAGAGACAATCAGGGAAACGAAGCGAAACGAAATAATGTGCGGTAGAGGTGTGTCAACTCTATTTGATCAAACGTGTCTCGATTTTTATAGTCAAACAAAAACAAGTTACAGACACTTTATGAATAGGGTAAGTAATTAACACATACGATCATATGAAAACAGTTAGGGTTAACAAGAGTAAAGTGACAAGGTCAAAATATGTATTGAAGAGAATTTATAAAGAAGTTTGTCCAGAAGCTAGAATAGCCTACATGGGCTTGACATAGTACCAGTCACTACAAGTAAACTATTGAGATTCAAGAACAGAGGAAAAGATAGGTGGAATACTTCGAGGAACTGCTGAATAGACCAGCCCCATCGAATCCACCGGACATCGAAGCAGCACACACAAACCTTCCTGTAAATGTCACTCAACCAACGATCGAAGAAATTAAGATGGCCATCAGACAAATCAAGAACGGGAAAGCAACAAGACCTAACAATACACCAGCTGAAGTGCTGAAGTCACACACAGGAGTAACTGAAAACATGATTCATTTAACTATAAGGTACTTTATTGATTTTCTTTTGTTTTTGAAACCCTAATTCTCGATAACTTTCTCCTTTGCTCACTTCAGGCTACTGATAATCCACGACAATCTTCCACTTGTTTGGAATCAGTTTCTGTCAATGATAAAACTGAAGTACATGTTGGAAGTCTTGGTTTAGGAACAGCTTTAGCCGTTGCTTATGATCTATGCAATGATACTGGAATTGTGAATCAGCTCAATACCAATGCTAATTTATGTGCCTCAAATTCTCAACCAGCCAATTTTCTTTCATTATTTGCAATCAAATCACCAACTTCATAATTTTCAACTCATTGTCGTGGTACATCTTTATCTGACCAACATACATATATTATTTATTCTATTCTATTTATTCTTTGACCTTGTATGACTATGCCCTGCCGACTCACCAATCGTAATTTCGTATTTGTCACAAAACAATATATATAGTGAATGAAATTATCTCCACCTGGAGCCCCACTGAGGCTACTGCCGATCCCATGCCCGGATAAAGAAGGAGGGTTGAGCATGGGGTTAGCGACACCATCCCGTAGAAAACTAACTCGCTAAAAAAACGCTAAACAGAAAAAATAATTCAGAACATTTAGACTCTGACCTGAAAGTAAGGTCTTTATTTGAAAGAGTTATGACGCCTGACGATGAAAGCCAAGTCCCTTCGGAAGTCACGAGGCTGATGTCCTTTTCCGACAACCAGAGCAACCATTAGAGTGAATGAAATTTCTTCTCACACCACTTACGTATACACAAAATCTGTTATCTTAACACTTTTCATTTTACACCACATGTCTCTTACACACTAAAGCAAATTCCTTTGAAAGAGCTTGGACCAGATTGCCAGGTCCCGACCGTTGCTGCTACCTTGACGTGGTGGTCGGGCTTGCCTATCGTGATGAAGCAATCGAGCTATGCTGGTTGGAACAATCGTTCCTCGAGGTCCTACCATGCCAGACAGGTCGGTTGAAGAGCGGTAAGACTAAAAGCAGCAATCCCAAGGTCCGAAGGCGAAGTCGTACTGCTGACTGTACAGAGGTGTGACGGCAGTAAGGTGTTTCCTCCAGACAACCAGCATGACAGCGGTGACGTCCTTTTATAATCTCGCACCGCTAGGGCAAACGATTCAAGTACACGGAACGTTATTCCTGGTCTCCTGAAACCACGCTCTAAACTACATGTAGGAACTTTTAATGTCCGAACATTGTGCCAAATAGGACAACAGGTTTTCTTAGCTAGGACTCTAGAATCTTACACCATCGATGTATGCTGCATCTCCGAAACGCGCATACAAGATCCGAGTAGCGTCATTCATTTGACCGCACCTAATCAAAATAAAGTTTCATTTCGATACACGCTTCGTGTATCTGGAAGCCCTGATGCTGCTTCCCGTGGCCTCGCTGGAGTAGGTATAGCATTAAGTCCTAGGGCAGAACTAGCTCTTTTAGACTGGATCCCAGTAGACAGTCGTCTATGCGCTGTCAGACTAAACGGATCAATAAGGACCCGGAAAGATAGGGAAACTCGTCGTTGCCTCTTCGTCGTCTCTGCCTACTCTCCCACTGACTGCAGCTCAGACGATATAAAAGATGAGTTCTACAGGAAACTTTCTGACCTTCTCCGAGAAGCTAGGCGTTCTGATGTAGTAATAGTAGCAGGTGACTTTAATGCTCAAGTAGGTAAACTAAGTGAAAGGGAAAGACACCTGGGGGGATCTTATGGTGTCATGGCAAAAAGAACAGATAATGGCGACCGTCTGTTGCAGCTATGCCCAAATAACCGCCTATTTCTTGCAAATACTAACTTTAAGCATAAGGAAAAACATCTTTTGACATGGCGACCCCCGAATTCGTCCCAACGTTGGACCCAATTAGATCACATCGCTATCAGCCACCGATGGAGGGGCTCGATAGAAGACTGTCGCTCATTCTGGGGCACATGTTTAGATTCAGATCATGCTCTAGTGCGAGCACGTATCTGTCTGCGTCTTACTGGTCGTAGGAAAGACACTGCAGGGAAGCCTCTAAGGGTTCTACTTAATGATAAGCAAGCTAAGAATACATTTCAGGAACAACTGGAAAAACAGTTAGACAAACATGTAAGTTGTGTCCACCCCGAAGCAGCGTGGAATGACATCCGAAAAGCTGTAGAAGCAGCAGTGATATCCGCTAGTAAGGTAAACCATAACGTTAGGGAGGAACAATGGATCTCGGCCGCATCTACCGCACTGATAGATGCTCGAAAACTCATCCCACCTGGCTCTGAACATAACGAAGAGCGG